GCCTTAGGCATCAAAACCAGCTGGGTGACTTTGGGCCAATCACTGGGAGACGGGGAGTTCTAGTCCCGCCTTAGGCATCAAAGCCAGCTGGGTGACTTTGGGCCAATCACTGGGAGACGGGGAGTTCTAGTCCCGCCTTAGGCATCAAAGCCAGCTGGGTGACTTTGGGCCAATCACTGGGAGACGGGGAGTTCTAGTCCCGCCTTAGGCATCAAAGCCAACTGGGTGTCTTTGGGCCAATCACCGGGAGACTGTGAGTTGTAGTCCCGCCTTAGGCATCAAAGCCAGCTGGGTGACTATGGGCCAATCACCGGGAGACAGGAAGTTCTAGTCCCGCCTTAGGCATCAAAGCCAGCTGGTCCCGTGATCAAAATGAAACTAGTTCATACTTATATCGGTGGCTGGGTCACAAGGTCACATGGCAGATATTCCTCAACTTACAACGGTTCACTTAATGACAGTCACAGTCCCCCTTTTGCAACCGTCTTACCTGCTAACCCAGGAGGTGGGGGGGTGGAGAAGCCAGATCTATTTCACAAACAGGTGACTCACTGAACAACTGCAGTGCTTCGCTTAACGACAGAGGCAATGAAAGTCATAAGTATGGGGCAAACTCATTTAACAAATGTCCCACTTAACAACATAAATTTTGGGCTCAGTTGTGTTGCAGGCCTGCGTTGCACGTGTGAAGCATGAGAAAAGGCCCTTCCATTGTGTAGTCACCTTCTTTGCTCCCCTTGTGTTATGTGCCTGACAGCTAGTCCTCGACTTACGACGGCTTATACAACCACCTCAAATAGACCAATCTCCGTTTGCTAAGGAAAGCGTTAAGAGAGCAGCGCCCGATTTCATCCCCCGTTTCGGCTACCGTCATTCAGCGAATCCCTGTGGTTCTTAAGCGAATCCCTCTGGTTGATAAATAAATCAGGTGGTCATTAAGTGAATCTGGTGTCCCCCGTTGACTTTCCCTGTCACAAATATCAATCACGTTGGCCCCGCGATGTTTCCATTGTCATCAATAGATCCCATCCGAATTTTAATCACATCACAGTGCCGGTTGTAAGTGCGAGGACTGGTCATCAGTCCCTTTTTTTCCAACACTGCGGTTGTAATTCGAGGACTAGCTGTAACTTGCTTTATAGCCGCGGAAGGGACAGGAATCATTTTTCCAGATTTACCTGGCGAAGAACCTTTATTACATATTGGAAATCTTTAATTCATTTTCACGGAAATGTTCAGTTGAGTTTTGAGGGGAGCGACCCCCTCCCCCAAATCCTCTTGCAGGGTAGCAAGGGGAGAGACCCCCTCTTCTTCCTCCTGATTGGGAAATGCACCCCCCTCCAGCACAAGCTGGTGTGTGTGTCTGTGTGTCTGTGTGTGTGTGTGATGGGCTCAATTCATCTGATGCCACCCATCTGGGCATCCGAGAAACAGGAAAATCACACACTCTCCCTGGGGGCTTTCACTCAGAGGACCACCCACCCACCCACCCAAGGAGTTGCAAGCCAAGACTGACCTTGGGACCCCAACCCACGGGGGGAGGGGGTTGGTAGAGAGAAGCCCCTTACCTCCCCATAAAGACCTTCCCCAGACTGAGAATCTCCTGCTGAGCATCCTCCACGAGGATTCCCCCTCCCCCCCCACTTTCCGCGGGAGGGAGGGTAGAGGTTTCCCCCCCCCCCCCCACCAAAACCCACGCTGAGCATCCCTCCTCCCTCCCCCCCTCCTCTTCCAAACTGCAGACCCCGAAACCCTCCGCCACTCAAGCCCGGGGTGGAGGGTAAGGGGTGGGGGGGTCTCCGGTGCCCCCTCCCCGAGCCGGCCCTTCCCCAAATTTGCAATTCCACGCGCGTCCCGCGCCCACTCGCGCCCACCCTCCCTCCTTTCCTTCCCTCCCTCCCTCCTTTCCGACGCCTCGCCCTCCGCGCGGCTGCGGCGCTTTTGCGCATCTGCACCCGGAGCGGAGGGAAAGAGAGCGATCGGCCGCCAGGTTTTTCTCACGGGCGGCGTCTGGAGCGAAGGGGACGAAGCGGCGGAGGAGATTGCGGCAGCCCCGGGGCAGGAGCGAAACAGAAGGCGGAGGAGCCGAAAACAGCGCAGGAGGAAAAGAGCCGGCATGCCCGGGGAAGAAGGAGCAGCGGCGGCGGCGGCGGCGGCGGGCAGAGGGGTGATGCTACCCGGAGTCCGTCGGAATCCCACGGGGCTCCCAGCGGAGACCAGCGACGGAGCAGGTCGGGCGTAGTTCCGGAGAAGCGCCTGGGCTCTCTCTGGACCTCCATCGCTTTCCGGAGCTGTCCGGCTGGCTGATCTCCCTTCCCCACGTTTTCCCCACCGGGATTAGCAGCCCGAGGACCCCCCGACGGACCTGTCATGCCGCCTCTCCGCCTTCTGGGGGCAGCCGCGAACCCCTGATTTGGGGCTGCGAGGCTGAGCCGGCGCCCCCCCACTTCTTCATCATGTGGGGCCAGGCAGACTGAGCGGAAGGGTACTTCCACAGCGCAGCCCTTGTGACTCCCCGCCACCCGTGTTTCTGCTTCTGCTCCCAGAGGGACCCTCCCTCCCTCCCCTGTCTCTGCCATGGGCACCGTGCTCTCCCTCTCGCCTAGTGGCGGCGGCGGCAAAGCCAGCCTGCCCGAGGAGGGGTCCACCAGCTCTCTGTCCCACTACCCTGGTGGCCTGTCCAGTGGTAAGGGAAGCGGGCAGAAGTCGGACAAGACCCTCAAGAGACCCTCCATGTTCATCCCCGCCCTGACGTGGAAGAGGCTGGTGGCCTCCACCAAAAAGCGGGGTTCTCGGGCCAAAGGCGCGGCCCTCCCCGGCAAGAATTTCCCGGCGGGAAAAGAGGTGGCCCACCTCAACCACGAGAACATCCAGAAGTCTCTCTCTTGTGCCAACCTCGCCGGCTACGAGGAAGGCGGGCCGCCCTTGGTGCCACTCAGCACCAAGGGCCTGTCCGCCACCACCGGGGGCCCGGCCGGCTCCTTGTTGAAGCCTGGTGGGTTGGGGGGCAGCTCCACGTCCCCCCGGCGGGTCATCGTCCAGGCGTCCACCAGCGAGCTGCTGAAATGCCTCGGCGAGTTCCTCTGCCGGCGGTGTTACCGCCTGAAGCACCTGTCGCCCACCGAGCCTATCCTGTGGCTGCGCAGCGTGGACCGCTCCCTGCTGCTACAAGGTTGGCAGGACCAGGCCTTCGTCACGCCGGCCAACGTGGTCTTCGTCTACCTGCTGTGCCGGGAAATGATCGATGGGGACCTGGTGGGCAATGAACACGACCTCCAGGCCGCCCTGCTGACCTGCCTCTACCTGTCCTACTCCTACATGGGGAACGAGATCTCCTACCCGCTGAAGCCCTTCCTGGTAGAGGCCTCCAAGGACGTTTTTTGGAACCGTTGCCTGCACATCATCCACGCCATGAGTGCCAAAATGTTGAGGATCAACGCGGACCCACACTACTTCACTCAGGTGTTCGCCGACCTCAAAAACGAAGGCAACGCGGCGGCCCCCGAGAACTTTGCCCGCGTCTTGGACCGTTGACTGTCGACTCTTCGCAACTTCACAGTTTTTTGGGGGGGACGGGGAGGCTCCTGGGGATGGGTTTGGAATCACGAACCAGAAGGACCAGCCGTCCCTGCACCCCGAGAGGCTACACGGCCCTCCGATTTCAGAAAGGAGGAAGAGGCGTGGAAGAGGAACACCGATACAGCGAATGTCGTGTTCCCCCCACCTTTGGCTAAAAGAGAGGGGAAGAAGACCCCCCCTGCCCCATGGGGAGGGGGCGGGTGTCGTCTTCTGAAAAGCCCATAATACAGAAAGTCCTCGACTTACGGCCGCAAGAGAGACGTTTGTTCAGCCAATTTTGGCCCCTTCGAATGCCCTTCCTTGTGACGGTTGTCTTTTCCCCCGATCACGGCAGTTGTTCAGTTTTACAACGCGGTTGTTAAGTGAATCTGATTTGCTTGTTCAGGAGGTCGCAAAAGGGGGATCAGGAGACCCCGGGAGGCAGCAACCGCCCTGAAGATGGCAAGCACCCCGTGACCGTTGGGATGCTGCGACGGTCGTTAAGCGTGAAAAACGGTCCTAAGTCGCTTTTTTCAGTGTTGTTGGAAATTCGAACAGTCACTCGGCAAGCTGCTGTAAGTCGAGGACTATCTGTACTTATTAAATAGGCATTTTTTCCCCAGCCATTTGTTCTGCCAAAGCAAACCAAGGAATAACATTGGGAAGGAAAAATATTAATGTAGCCCCTGAATCCAGCATCGAAACCATCAACTTCCTTTGAATTCTCCTTCAAAATGGATCATTTTAAATCCTCTCTCTCTCTCTATCAGTCTTTAGCTATCTCTATCTATCTACTTATCTATCTATCTGTCTCTGTTTCTCTCTCTCTCTCTCTCTCTCTATCTATCTATATCTCTCTCTATTTCTCTCACACACTCCCTCCCCCCCTCTCTAATCTATCTATCTCTCTATTTCTCACACTCCCTATCTCTGTCTCTCTATATATATTTATTTCTCTGTCTTTCTCTGTTTCTATCTCACTCTCTCTCTCTCTAATCTATCCATATCTCTCTATTTCTCTGTGTGTGTGTTTCTCTCACACACCCCACCTCTCCCTCTCTCTCTTTCATCTATCTAAAGCTATCTATTTCTCTCTCACACACACACTTCCTATCTCTCTCTCTAATCTATCTATATCTCTCTATTTCTCTGTGTGTTTCTCTTGCACACCCTACCTACCCCCCTCTCTCCCTCTCTCTCTCTCTCTCTCTCTCTATCTATCTATCTATCTATCATCATCTCTATCTATATCTCTCTATTTCTCTCGCACACCCTACCTCTCTCTCTCTCTCTATCTTTCTTCTTCTTTCTTTCTCTGTCTTTCTGTTTCTCTCTCTCACTCCCCCTCTCTATCTATATCTATCTATATTTATTTCTACCTACGTACCTACCTACCAACCTACCTACCTAATTTTTATCTCTAATCTAATCTGATCTAATTATCAATCTCAATCTATTATTCTTATCTCACTTTTTCTCATTATATCTATCCATCCAATCATTCATCTATGTAATCTATCTCTCCCTCTGTATCTCTCTCCCTCTCTCTCTCCCTCCCTCTCTCTCTCCCTCCCTCCCTCCCTCCCTACCATATATCTATCTACCTACCTGTTCATCCATCCATCAGTCACTCTCTCTCTCAATCATAGCTATCTGTCTGTTGGTCCGTCCATCCATCCATCGATCTGTCCCTCTCTCAATCATATCTATCTATCTATCTATCTATCTATCTATCTATCTATCTATCTATCTATCTATCTATCTATCTATCTATCTATCTATCTATCT